GGGTCTCAGGACCCGATTCCTCATTAGGGCTGAATTGGCTGTAGCCCTTCAGCTCTTGTCATCCTGAAGCTGGTGGAGGATCACTGGGCCTCTGGCTGCTGCACCAGGGCAGGGGGACTCCTGGCCTCAGGGCAGCCTAAGCCAGGGCTCTAGGCATTGGGGTGCCCGGCAGGCATTGTGCTCCCACTGTGGTGGGTGGAGCTGGCTCCACTCACCCTGCCTTTGGGGGCTGCTTCTCCCCAGACCATGCCCTGGTGGCCAGGGCCCAGCACGTGGTGACTCTCAACTGCTGGGTGTGGGACCTCAGCGTCCAGTGCGGCAGCATCCTCCTGGCCCAAGACTTTCCTCACAGCACATTCTCCCTGATGCTGAGTCGGACAGACTTGGGGCTCATGGCCCTGACCGTGGAGCTGAAACACGTGACCCTCATCTTCTACCCCAGCCTGCAGATGACGAGGAGAGGACCGAGCTTCCCCTGGAGACCTGTTACTGGGGTAGGTTACCTGGGGGATGGCATTTTCAAGCTTGTCCGCTGGTTGTGGGTCAGCGCTCCTGCCCAATCCCTCTGGTCCACAGACCTACAGGCTATACAACTCCTACCTGCCGGGGGAGAGCTGTCCAGACCTCCAGCTGCCTCCTGCCATGACAAGGAGGGATGTCCCCAGGATTGAGCTGGCCAGTGAGGACGGGGTGTCCGTCTCCTGTTACATGCCCACCAACCTCTGCAGCCTGACTCTGGGCCTCCAGCACCACGGTGAGTCTGGGCCCTGGCGCGGTTGGCCCCACCATGAAGAGCCTCTTTGGGATGCACCATTCTCAGCTTCCACTGCGACAGGTCCCCGGGCCGTAGGCGGTGACTGTGATTGAGATGATGGCACTGAGGCCCAGGGATTTCTGCCCCCATCACTGGGACATGTGGCTCCCTGGGATAAGGGTGGAGTGGGCCCTTCTGTGGTCCCTCTGCCAAGGAACATAAAGGGTGGGCCTGGATTCCGGCTACTCGAGCTGAGGATGTGGAGAGGGGCCAGGGGGACACATGCTGTCAGTCCTTGTGCTTTCTCTCCCTCTTCTGATGAGGGTTTGGAGCCAGAGCCCTGGTCTCCGAGACTCTGGGGGTGGTGGGATTTTACCGCTTCTCAGTGTGCCTCAGGCTTGTCTCTCATACAGGTCCCCAGGGGGAGGATCACAGGCTCTCAGTACATACTCAGCTTCCCTCCTCCCCACAGGCATATCCGCTGGCCCTCTGGGCATCAACAATAAAGCAGGCAATGAGCTGATGTTGCTGGCTGGCTCTGTGGCCCACAGCCTAGAGGAGCTCAGCCTGGCCTGGCAGGTGAGCAGGTACACCTGCCCTTCCTCCCTCTGGCTGAGGCTCTTGAGGGCTGCTTGCTGCAGAGTCCCAGGAGAGGCAGGTGGCCTGCTGGCTTTGCAGCGGTCTTTGGAGACCCAGGGTTGGGGGAGTCTCCTGCTGAGGCCAATGTATGTGGGGTAGCCACAAGGTCCGGTGGGAGGCCTCAGTCTTGCGTCTGTCTCGCCAGGTGGATGGTGACTGCAGGGCCACCGAGAAGACTCAGCCGACCTGCCCAGGACAGAGCCCCACCTGCCGGGCCTTCTTCCAGGATCCCCGTTCCAGCTTGGGGAACTGCTTCTGGGTGGTGAGTGTGAGCCTGGCCCCTGGGGCAAAGAAAGCCCTTTCCCCAGTCTACCCTGGGGAGTGGCATGGAGGAGGGAGCTAGGCTAGAGACAGTGACTGGGTGGCCCTGATTTCAGGTGGACCTTGAACCATTCCTCAGCCTGTGTCTGCAGGACCCCTGTGGCACCCGGGATCTCCAGCCTGCCTGCACTCTGGCGGCCACCTACATCCACCTGTGTGCCCACAACTTCAGGCCCCTGGCCCCTCCTCCACAGTGCAGTAAGCTGCCCCAGCTGGCTGGCACTCTGCCCCCTGTTGGGCATCTGCCTTCCAGCTGGAGGAAAAATCCATCTATCTCTCTGGCCAGGGAGAACAAATAATTGTCATTCAAGGAGCTAAGAGTCAAAACAAAACATTTATGGCCTGCTACAGCTTACATGTGTGTCCCCTCCAAATCTCACGTTTGTTAGAGGGGGTGGATGGCTTAGCATCCTCCATTTGGTGAAGCGTTGAGTTCTTACTCTGTTAGTTTGTAACATGGCTAGCCTAAAAGTTAGAACCTGAGAGATGCCATTTGGTAAAAGGCAAAGCTGTTCTTAAAATAAGTTGTAACGGCTTCCCCATTCTCTTCGCAATAACTGCTGACCTTGGCTTCTATGAAAAGTGCTTGCTTTTGCTTATCAGTAAGTACTGAAAAGTTGCTTGCCCTGCATCCCCTCCCCCTGAAACCAGGATGTGGTTTTTCAGCTTAAAAACCCTGCTCTCCCTGAGCTAGGGGCCATGGGTTGGAGAGACACGAGTCCTCCGTGGTCGCCGGCAATAAATGACCTGCAATTTGGCATACTTTTGTCTTGGTGTTGACTTTCCATGCTCGGTCCTGTACAACATTTGGAGGTTCCACCGAGATCTTTTATTTTCATCACCAGAAAAAAGCCATCTCAGGGTCTCGCCCGGGCGGCTGCTCCCACCTCGGAAGCCTCTAGGGGAGGTGCCCCCTGACTGTCCCAGGGCCCCAGAGTGCCACCGCGGAGGATAAGATAAGCGATGACACGGCCAACATTCACCCGAAATTCTTCAGGGTCCTAAAGACCTCCGGAGGTAAGTTTGTTCTGGAAACTGGGAACTAGTTCAAAAGAAGGGCCTGAGTCGGGGGACTGACGAGTCATTGCAACTCTGACCTGGCAAGCCTCACCAAGACGTCGCTTGAGGCTTCTGGTGGCTGTCATAGTGGGTGGCAGCCTTCTGGTATGGCAGTGCTGCAAATACCCACCCCCACCACGAAACGCCAAGATCGAGAATTCCTTGGGGCAGTAGGGTACTGAAGGCTATGGATTTTGGGATTTGCTGAAATAGCCAAGCCCCTGTATGCCTGCACTGGAGGAAATCAGCCCTTGACACGGACAGAGGTAGAGCAACGGGCTTTTGACAAGCTCAAGACTGCCCTGACTACAGCCCCAGCCTTAGCCTTGCCAGACATCTCTAAACCTTTCCAGTTGTTTGTGCATGAGCAACAGGGAGTCGCTAAGGGGGTGCTTACCCAGACATTGGGACCATGGTCCCGGCCAGTTGCCTACCTTTCAAAAAAACTTGATCCCGTAGCTTCTGGGTGGCCAGCTTGTTTGAGGTCAGTGGCAGCTACAGCCCTTTTAGTCAAGAAGGCAGACAAACTGACCTTGGGCAGGAGTTGAACTTAGTGGCACCCCACGCCGTAGAGTCGCTTCTCTGTGGAGCTTCGGGAAAATCAATGTCCAACGCCCGCATAGCCCAATACCAGGCCTTACTTTTGGACCAGCCCTGCATAAAATTTTCAAAAACCACAGTTTTAAACTCCACCACATTGCTGCCTGACAGCGAGTCAGAAGAACCCATACGTGACTGCCAACAGACTATAGATGCCCTCCATGCTGCACGACCGGACCTCACCGACGTCCCCCTGCAGAACCCAGAGGAGGTACTGTATACAGATGGCAGCAGTTTCATGGTTGATGGAGTCAGGTATGCCGGGGCAGCTGTGGCCACTCTAGAGCGGGTTATCTGGGCCCAGGCTCTTCCACACAGTGGAACCTCAGCCCAAAAGGCAGAACTCGTAGCTCTGATAAAGGCCTTGGACTGGGCGGAGGGAAAAACTGTAAACATCTACACGGATAGCCGATATGCCTTTGCTACGGCCCATGTACATGGAGCTATTTATAAAGAAAGAAGGCTGCTAACTGCAGAGGGACGAATCATCAAGAACAAAGAGGAAATCCTAGCCTTACTAGAGGCTATATGGAAGCCCAAAGCAGTGGCATTAATGTACTGCAAAGGACACCAGAAGGGAGATTCACCAGAAGCAAGGGGAAATAGGGCAGCTGACCTGCAAGCTAGACAGGCGGCCTTAGGGCCAGTGAAACCTCTGACTCTGCTTGTAACTCTGCCCGCCCCAACCCTGCCCCCTACCCCTACATACTCACCTGATGAAGAAAACTTTGCTAAAGATCAGGGGGGACCACAAGATTCCACAGGATGGTGGATTCTACCAGACACAAGGGTCGTGCTCCCCGAGGCTCTAGGATGGGCTCTAGTTAAGAACACTCACCAAGCCACTCACTTAGGGCAAACAAAACTAGCCTAGCTGCTGAGGGCCAGATACTACATTCCACATTTGCATGAGATTGTTAGGAAAACTGCTACTCGTTGTGATGTATGTGCCAGGGTAAATCCAGGAGGCAGCAGGTCTAGTCGGGCAGGAATAAGACTTAGGGGTACTAGCCCAGGGGAACACTGGGCCCCTAGGGTGCCGCTATAAATACCTCCTGGTGTTTGTAGGTACTTTCTCTGGATGGGTCAAGGCTTTTCCTACTAGGTCAGAAACCGCGCTGGTAGTAGCAAAGAGATTGTTACAGGACCTGGTTCCTCGGTTCGGCTTGCCCCTGACACTGGGATCAGATAATGGCCCTGCATTTATAGCACAGGTTTCACAGGGCCTGGCCAAGGCCCTAGGCATATCCTGAAAACTACACTGTGCCTATTGGCCCCAAAGTTCAGGGCAGGTTGAAAGGATGAACCGGACCATAAAGAAAACTTTAACAAAGTTCATTCTAGAGACCAGTGAAAACTGGGTCAACCTACTTCCTTTTGTTCTCCTCCGTACCCGATGTACTCCATATTAAAAGGGCTTCACTCCTTTTAAAATTATGTTTGGTAGCCCCCCACACTTAGAGACACCATACATGCTGAAGTCCATAACCACACACTCCTTAAGTCCTTACAGGCACTCCAGTCTGTTCAGTCCCCGGTGCTCCCCCTCATCAGGGAAATTCAACCTACCCCAGGGGATCCCACTGACCAGCCTGTACACCCCTTCCAGCCCGGGGACGAAGTCCTGGTAAAGAGGTTCACCGCCTCCGGCCTAACTCCTCGCTGGAAGGGACCCTACACCATGATCCTGGTCACCCCCACAACAGTCAAGGTGGACGGACTGACTGCCTGGATTCACCACTCATACGTCAAGACTGCCCCCGCCAGATGCAAGATGGGAAGTGGTTCCATCCTCAACGGACTCCCTAAAGCTAAGACTTTCGCGCCATTCACTGTTATCATCCTAATTTCCCTACTTCCTGTAACCACTCCCTGGAAGGGACCCCCTTTAACGCCTGCCTATTACCAATGGGTCATCACCGAGGGCTTCACTGGAGAATATGTTAGTTCCTTAACCGGGAAGGGATCCACCTTAGTCAATTTAACCCTAGAGTACATTCCAGAGAACCCCATTACCTTCTCCCTGGACTTCTGCCCTCCTGGGCCCCAACCTAAATTTCAGAACAAGTGGAAGTATAGCCGGGTACGGCAGTTCAGGGGCAGAGCGACGACTCCAGACTATGGGACTACATCTATGCCCAGGGTCCACACCAGATAAGAGATGGAATTGTAATGACTCGCACGAGTACTTCTGCCCCTATTGGGGCTGTGAGTCTATCTCCACCATAACCACAAGCAGAGACACTTTCATCTCACTCACCCGAGACTCTCCCCCGTCCCCATGCTACACCGGGTCTTGTAACCCACTCAAAATAACTGTAACTACCCAAGATGGCAGATGGACAATGGGGCAGACCTGGGGTCTTAGAGTATATATGAGCGGATGGGACCTGGAAAACATCTTCACCATCCAGTGCATACCGTTGCCCAGACCCAATAGCCCAGTGGGACCCATAGTTGAGGTCCTAAAACCCCTAATAACCTTCCCCAAAGTCCAAATAACCTCCACTCCTAGCTCTGCTACCCCATTCCTAACCTGTTTACAGAAGCCCCCCCAGATACAGAAGGCTTGAACCTTTTTTTTTTTTTTGAGACGGAGTTTCACTCTTGTTACCCAGGCTGGAGTGCAATGGTGCGATCTCGGCTCACCGCAACCTCTGCCTCCTGGGTTCAGGCAATTCTCCTGCCTCAGCCTCCCGAGTAGCTGGGATTACAGGCACGTGCCACCATGCCCAGCTAATTTTTTGCATTTTTAGTAGAGACGGGGTTTCACCATGTTGACCAGGATGGTCTCGATCTCTTGACCTCGTGATCCACCCGCCTCGGCCTCCCAAAGTGCTGGGATTACAGGCTTGAGCCACCACACCCGGCCGAACCTTCTAAACTTATTGTCCTCCACACAGCACCTGCTCAACCAGACAAACCCAGACCTAGGTAAAGATTGCTGGTTATGCCTAAATCCACAGCCACTGTTTTACATAGGTCTAGCAGCACAACTCGATATAGCCCCCTCAAGTACATCATGTACTGAAAGGCAGTTCCACATAACCCTAGGGGATCTAGAGGGAGAAGGCAGATGTTTCCATTCCCCTAACTATACTCTCACTAGCTCCCCATACTGTGGTTATTGTAAAACCACTCTCATTTTGCGTTATAACCAGGCAAGTTTTTACTACACTGCACCAGACTCTGTTTGGTTCACCTGTACTTTGGGCCTCACGAGCTGCATTTCCACCTACCAGTTCAGCAACTCTTCAAAAACCCATTCTTTGTACCCCCGTGTATATACTGCCCCGGGTAAATGTTTATAGTGGACCCCAAGGTGAAATTCTCATAGTGCCCGATACCAACAGATGTTGGAAACAGGCCCCCATAATTATACCCCTATTAGTGGGACTTGGAATAGCAGGATCTACCGTTATAGGAATATCTGCCTTAGTCACTGGGGACCAAAATTTCCAAACTCTGTCACACCAAATAGAGGCAGATATTACCCATCTGGAAAATTCCATCACCAAATTAGCTGAACAAGTAGACTCGTTGGCTGAAATGGTATTACAAAATAAAAGAGGGTTAGAGCTGTTGTCCTTGAAGGAAGGACGACTGTGCGCGGCTCTCGGCGAGCAATGTTGCTTCTATGCAAATA